GCCCCAATCACCACTCTCTCCCCTCTGGGAATACTCTCCATCACCTCATCTAACTCACTCCAGAATCTCTCCTTCTCTTCTAACTCACACCCTACTTGTGGAGCATAACCACTGACTACATTCAACATTACCCCTTCAGTTTCTAACTTCAGACTGATCACCCTGTCTGACACTCTTTTCACCTCTAAAACATTCCTCACCAGCTCCTCCTTCAGGATCTCTCCTACCCCATTTCTCTTCCTGTCCACACTATAATAAAACTGTTTGTATCCCCCTCCAATCCTACGTGCTTTGCTACCCTTCCACCTGGTCTCCTGCACACACAGTATATCTACCTTCCTTCTCTCCATCATGTCCACCAGCTCTCTACCTTTCCCTGTCATTGTGCCAATGTTAAGAGTCCCTATTCTCAGACCTATACTCCTGCCTTTCCTCTCCTCTCTCTGTCTACGACTCCTTCTACCTCCTCTCCTTCTTCGACCAACAGTAGTCCAATTTTCCGCCAGCACCCTGTAGGTCAACAGCACTGGTGGCAGTCGTTGTTAACCCAGGCCTGAAAGACTGAAACAAACAAACCCTGTCACCAAAAAAAATTAAACTCTCCACACCAGAAACTGAAGGCACCCTGCAGGACTGTTTCGCCCAGACAGACTGGGTTGTGTTTAAAGCTGCAGCCACCTCGGAGGACTTTTCAGTCAGCATACAGGACACTTAACACCACACAGCTGGTCAAGAAGGCCCAACGGCGGCTGTACTTCCTGAGGAGGCTGAGGAGGTTTGACATGTCGCCTAGGATCCTTTGCAACTTCTACAGCTGCATCACTGAGAGCATCTTGACCAGCTGCATCTCTGTCTGGTATTGCAGCACTACTGCTATGGACCATAAGCGCCTGCAGAGAGTGGTAAAGACTGTGGAGAACATCATCAGGACTCCACTGCCCTCTCTACAGAGCATTTACCACTGCAGGGTGCATGGTCAAAGATCCCACCCACCCCCAGCACGGACTGTTCGTCTTCCTACCCTCTGGCCAGAGATTCAGAAGTGTAAAATGCAGGACCACTAGACTGAAAAACTTTCTTTCCCTCTGCCATCAGACTCCTAAACAGCTGAGGAGTTTATTACCAGGAAATATGTGATGTACTGTTTACATTCTCAGTTTGCACATGCATAATTGTACAATGACTGTTGACTGCTGCACATGCTGCTCCAATGCAGCATACATTCTGTTATATTCTTATATATTTTTTATTATATTGCTGCTTTTGCTGCTTAAAGTGCCTTAGATATTGTGTTATTTATCTACTTTATATTTCATTTGTATTTTGTGGTATTCATGTGGAAAGCAAACTAAGAATTTTATTGTACAGGGAAACATGTTTCCTAACTGTGCATATGACAAATAAACACTTTGAACCTTGAACCTTGAAAACATTCAGAACATTCTGGTTGGATCTAGTTTTTAGCTGGCCCTGACTGTCCATTTCACTAATGTCAGTGGAAGCGGGTTATATTATAAAGCGGCCAATATTACTTATGGTGAACTCAATTATAGTGCCAGACGAGAGTGAGTAGCTAGCTATCACTTTAATGAACACAGTCAAGGGCATACAATGCAGTAGTCCAGAAACATAATGCCAAACAAAAGTGAATAGCTAACTAGCGTTTTACTGAGCACAGGTAAGAGCATACAGTGCAGTAGTCCAAAAACATAATCCAAGTCCATATTAGCAATCCAGGGTCAGTACCAGCAAACTGCCACAGCCAAGGAATCCAAAAGCAAGCAGTCAGAGAGGGAAGTCCAAAGGTCGATACACAGAAAACAGTCCGAATCAGAAGGGCAAGGCAGTACTCAACACTAAGGTGAACCAGAAACAGGAAGTAATGTCAAAATAAAAGCATGAGAACGGAAGCCGACGGGACAGAAAAACAGTTGATATGACAACACACATAATTTTACACATAATCCAATATCAATTTGCTTATACCTAGTACATGCTTGAATGGAGTAGGAAGAAGTCAGACTTATCCAGTCCTACCCCATGACATCATCTTACCATCATTGGTTTGCAAGCAGTAAATGATTCTCTTCTACACCACACAAGTAATATACTAAAGAATTATAACAGTGTTAACATTCTTACATAATTACATTCTTAAATAATTATCTTCTACACCACACAAGTAATATACTAAAGAATTTCATTGTACAGAGAAACACGTTTCCCAACTGTGCATATGACAAATAAACACTGACTTTGAACAAGGTGTAACTATTGTTTCTATCAATATCGATGCTATGTTTTTTTTTAATGGCGGCATTTGCATCGCTCTTCTCTCACACTCTCTGCGGAACCCCTGCCCACTTCGCCTCCGCACTGCTCCACTCTTACTCAAAACATGGGAGCCTGCATGCGAGACATAATGCTGGTCTACACTGCTGAAGAAGCCCCTGGTTTATAAAAAAAAATCTCCTCAAAATCTTTTTCATCATTTACAACAGCGTCATAAACCGCAGTACAAAGAGTTTAACTTTGTGCAGATGCCGTAGCCCTGGCCGTGAGGCCTGAAAAGTCCTCTGCCCTGAAGGAAAGCATGCTGCCATTTTCATTTACTCATGGTGTGCCTTTTAAAGAGAAGAGGGCAAACATATGGTCCCTGTTACAACAAAATATCAGCCACCCCATCACGACTACCTTGCAGTAGAAACACTGAAATGTACACTGAGGTCAAACAGCATCATGACTGGTTCGCAAAAGTGACTGCTTTCACACTGACAACTGATAATTTTCTCTGATTTCAGCTTCTTAAATGAGACAGATTGATACTTCATCTCAAACTGCAGCAAACCTGAATCTCTTTAGGGGTTTGTGGTTGATATCTGAGAAACTGCAGCAGGCATTTGCATTCCTACATTAAAGAGAGTAAACAGTTCATCAGTTCATCAGTGACAGAAATAACAGCTAGTAGCTGGTAGCACCATGCGAGTCAAAGGTGTGCTTAATTTGGTTAAAATTCAGACTTCTAAACTGAGCACAGTCATGGATCCAGAATGGCCTGTGACTGGCCTGCTGTGAGCAGTAGGCAGGCTCACCTCCAGACTACGTGCTGATTGGCTGGTAATGCTGACAGGGGCGTTGTTCCGGTATGAGCAACAGCTCCTCTAATCCTTGAGCTTCACATGTCTCAGGTGTTCACAGTGACTCCTCCCAGACAGGAAACAAAACCAGGACACCTCTCCCTCGACTCCTCAGTCGTCTGCTAAACAAACACACATTAATAACAATAGAAACAGAAAATAGATTTCTCTCTTCAGCCTTGTTTTGCACTGACTGATTTGCACAGAGATAAACTGAAAGTACTGTGTAAGACAAGGACATGAATGTGAGCAGGATGGTATGGAGATAAAATCCTATCAAAAATGTTACAAACTCGTGTTTAACGTTTTGTCTGTAACAAGCCATTTGTGTGTGTGTGTCATGCTGTTCACAAATGCGTGCTGTACAAACTGCACATAAAACACCTTTTACAAATGCTTAAAATCGATTTTTCGTGTGCAGGTCTTTAGAAAGTACATACCCATTGTTTTTGCAGCTTGGCGGCAAACACATATTACCAGTCACTGTTATTTACTAGAGTGGTTTAAGTAGCACAAGGTTAACGTGTGTTTCTGATATTAGTCTCACCTCTCTCCACTTCTTAAGCTGTCAAAAACATAAGAACGTGTGCAACAGTTCCAGCCATCTCTCGACTCGGGACCTCAGTTCAGTTCTCCCGCCAGGCAACCGGCACCAGCTTGGGCTGTGGCTTCTGGGAAATGGTGTTCATTAAAAGGCAGTACAAACAGAAACATTACATTAATATTTATATTAGATTGTTTTAAAGAAACTCATCATTACTGTAATGAAACTCACAACATACTATTGAAAAGGCTGGATTTTTAGTTGTTAGCAATTTCAGTAGCATTTTGAATGGGCTTGTCTTGAACACAACGCGTAAGTTCCGGTTTCACTTCAGCTCCCTCTATTATTATATAAAGACCACAGTGCCTGTGCATGTGTGTGAGAGCCAACAAGCCTATCAACTGTGTACTCATGTCAGCATAGAGCAGCAGGTGAGTGTGCCCATGCTTACAAGTCAACACAGACCAGCAGCTCTGTGCTGCTGCTGCTGGTTACCAGTTTGTCCAGGCTGCAGATTATTTCTCTTGTGATATAAACAGCATAATTAGCACAATATTGTTGTCAGAGCCAGCTGTTTAAGTCATGTGGCCGTGTTTACAGCTCTGTGATTGGTCAGAGTGAAACAACAGCAGTGGCCTCATGTCCTGTGTTTTACTGAATTAAAACCACCTGAAGCTTGTTTCAGCCTGTTCATCCACACAACCACACCCTCAGCTCAACCACAAGGCATGCTAGGGAAACACCGCTACGCTCTGTGTGCGTCTGTGTAAGCACAAACACCATGCATGTTTCTGAACGAGGAAATCTCACCAACCTTCTTTAAAAGACAAGACTGTACAGTTGTGAGGATTCTCACTGACATAGTGCATCCCCTAACCTGAAACCTAAAATCAGGTCAGAACCCTCAAACAGCCCTTGGAAGGTGTGAGGTCCGGGCATCACGGCCTGACAGTGCAGCAACGTCCTCACATCTATGGTCTGAAAGTCACACTGGTCCTCACAGCCATACCCATACCACTGTACAGACACACACATTAACTCGGGTCTTGACAAACAGTAATAATCAAACACATGACATTAGTTTTGAACCATTTACAGGCTTTATAAACAGGTCACAACATGTTTCCGACATTTTCAGACCTGCGGGCTGAAACATGAACATTACAGACAGTAGCCAGGTCACAACAGCAGAGCCAACACAGCTGTTTGCTCCATGCATGAGATGTAAGTTCCATGCAACCATACAGGCAAATCCAGGCTGAAGCAGAAGTAAAGAAGCTGCCATTACTGTAGTGACATCTCACTTTTAAGCACATTAAATCATGTTTCAGAATGTGCTGCAGGCCGACCTCGGGCCACTCAAGACAGAGAGACCTGTCCACACCTTTGTAGGACCACTAGACTGAAAAACTCTTTCTTTCCCTCTGCCATCAGACTCCTAAACAGCTGAGGAGTTTATTACCAGGAAATACATCATGTAGTCGACCTGTACTGTTTACATTCTGTTTACACATGCATAATTGCACATTGACTGTTGTCTGCTGCACATGCTGCTCCCATGCAGCATACATTCTCTTATTATATTCTGATATATTTTTATTACATTGCTGCATTTGCTGCTTAAAGTGCCTTAGATTTTATGTTACTTATCTACTTTATATTTCATTAGTATTTTGTGGCATTCATGTGGACGGCAAAGTAAGAATTTCATTGTACAGGAAACAAATAAACTCTTTGACCATGAGGAGCAATCCATAGGTCTGTCTTTAAAAATCTAACTGTACTAACAGTGAGAAGTCCTGTGACCACCTCCCGATTATTCAATGTCTCTGGGAAGCAATAATATTAAAATAAAACAAAACACTCAACTGCATGTTCCTCAGCAGTTCTCTGACCACCAGTTAACACTGCGTGTACATGGTGTTTCATCATCAGCTAGTGCACAGGCTGATCGCTGGATGGGTAATCACAGGACAAAGTTCAAAGTGCAGCCACACATCTGTTGATAGGAACTGCTGCTGCTGATCACCTGAGATCAATGAAACAAGATGTCCCATCACTACGACCTGTTAGTGTCTGAACTGCAGGCCTCATCTCCACGACAGGAAGTGATCAGGAAGCAGAGTCTCGCAGCACTGGTGATCAGTCCTGGACTCAACCTGCTCTCTGACACATGGACTGCAGCCCATTAACACAACACCGAAACCATTAAGTCATATAATCAGTCTGTGCTTCCTGTTTCTATTTTTAAAGACCGCGACAGTGCTTTAAAGATGTAAACATCCGTTTGCTGCAGGGGCTGGATCCCCAGTGAACTTGGACCAAACGTTTGCATGCGGCTGGATGTGAAGCCTGGTGTCAGTGTTGGCTGTTTACACACAAACACGGAGTGCACGTCAGTGTTTCGGTTAATCAGCGGTGACCAGTGTTAACCACCTGCAGATCAGAGCGGGGAAACAAAGAGAAGATAAACAGACAGAGCAGCTGAGGCCCACACACGGTCACAGACACACAGCTGCCGATAACAGCTCAGCTTAAAACAGCTGTTAAACTTCAGTATGAGGCCTCAGCACCACCTCCACGGTAGCTAACGTCTGTTAGCCTTTAGCAGCCAAGTCGACACAAAATGGCTCTGTGCGACTTCAGTCTACCTAATTGACTAAAACAGACTAACAGTCTGACTCGGTCTGTAACAGGAGATGACTTGCGTTACAAGTCTCCAAACTTGGCTAGCCACACAGCTAACTAGTATGCTACTAGCTGCAACGTTCGAAACCTTGATACACCTGGCTAACCGACTAGCCTCAGCAACTAACAAACACAGGAGCTACCACGACGGAAAACAGCACGCAGACACTTCAATTCATCAGAAACGTTAAATAAACGTTAAATAAACGTACAATGTTTCTGTCGGTTAATGTTCGTGCACAGAGATATTTAGCATCAGAAACTAAGATGGAAAGGCCGAGTGTCAGACTAACCTGGAGGAAACCTCTCCGTCTCTGGCCGCTGGAGAAAAAAAAAAAGCTAATGGCAACGACGAAACGCGCTACATTCTTTTGTTTTAGGTTGTGCCTGTCAAATGAACAGTCCGACTGTCGACTCCTTCACTTAACTGCTACTAAAATGTTGGTCTAAAAAGTTAAATTCGCAGTTTAAAGGAGCACCGCAATCTCTGAACCTACCTGTTCCTCTCTGAGCTTTCTTCTTCTTCGTTCTGGTTTTAGGGCAGCTAGCATCCTTAACGTCGCATTACTGCCCCTTATTGGTTTTAAAAGACCTCAGCGTCCATTTCTTTTAAATCCGTGCATATAGTCTCGCTCTCAAAAATCAAACACAGCTTTTCTGCCCTCCACACTATTTCCTTGTTTAATTATATTTTTCACACAGATATATCCTAGCCCTGCACTCTGTAGTTTTGTGATCATGACCGTGCGGCCTTCACTGTATCCTTCTAAAACATGTTCCACTGATGAACTTTCCTGGAACTGATCGTGAGCTAACTACTGTGACCGAGAACACTGACGTACAGCTGGAGCTGCTGCGTCATGACGTAGGCACCTCTTCTTCCTATTCTTCTCCTCACGTGAGAAGCTGAAGCTAGACCGTTTCCAAAGTCGCAGACAATTAATTATCTATCAATGGATTATCCAGCTATTAATCACAGCTCTACTTAAGTCTTTTGTTCTATGTGTGTCTGCCCTGCTACAATTTTGAAAATGCGTAGAACTGAATTAAAATGTTATTCTTTTATTATTTTTAATTTAATTCATATGTTTCTTCTTTATTGTCCTTGTCCTGTCGATTCTGAATTTACTTTCACAAGATTTGTTTAATTCAAACTAGACAAGGAGCAGCTGTGGCTCAAACCATTTTAACGTTCTCATACAAAGCATCATCAAATCAGTTTGCTGCTGTATCTGAGCTGACCAGGCTCGATTTGATATGAAACTGCATGAATACTAGCGACTTTTGATCTGTTGGTTATTTAGCCTGCCACTGCTGCACCTCACAGATGTCACAAAGAACCTTCATGTCCCGTTCACCAAAGGCTTATGTGTCTCTTAATAATAATGTACAACACAAATTAAACCAGTTGACATTGTAGAGCAGGACTCTACAGACCGTCTGCAGCCTGAGGGAACCACATGTCACGTCCTGTACTGACTGTGTTCAGCTCCTCTGATAAACGTCACCATCAGCCACACTTTTATTCTGTTAACATAAAAACCCTTGTTGGGTAAAGACCAACTCATACAATCACATTCGCTGCAGTTAAACAAGAAACAATACGTTTCTATAAAACCTTAACCCCATTAGGCCCTGAGCTCTTGCAGTAGGTGGAGCAACTGCGGTGCTTTTCTCCAAAAACTGCAGCCGCCTCGATCCTGTGCGAATATCGTTGGCCACGTGGGTGTTATGTCAGATAAAGTCAGACAGAAAACTAACTGGCATGCATTGTTCGCCGATCGCCGGTGCTGTGCAGATGTGGGTCATCTCGAAGGAGCCTAAAAAAAGTTTCCATCAAGAATCAGGAGAACTGGTAGAACTCAAATCCTCCTACAGTCAGAGGACCAAAGGTCACCATATTTCATCTACTACCTTCGTCTCCTTATTTCCTCCCCTGACTCCCTTTTCCTTCGCCTCCTCCCTCCCTTTGCAAACAGACATACCCGAGGAAGAATCATCACACCTGCGTCAGGTGTTTCAGTGTCACCCCCGGGTGGCCGTGATGAGCAAAACCTTCCAACAAGTTAGTATTTAGAAGAAAGATGGTGAAGCCTGTCATGTAACAAGATCTCTTACACACTGGACCACAAACTGTGGGTCAGAATGTATCAAGCCTTGCTGGTTGTTTTACACACATACCAGTTCTTTTACAGCACTGATGTGTCAGTGGAGGTCTAGGGTCAGAGGTCAGGGTTTGGCCCTGATACTGTACAGACAAAAACACACAAAAACTGCAGCACACTGAAAATTAGCCCTTTATTGATCCCAGCCACCCAAGTACAAGAGCATCTGTTGAAGCTCTATTGTCAGTCTAAAGTACTGATGACCTGCAGACAGCCTATTGTAATTTAACCCTACCAACAATCATCTATACATATATTGAGAATACATTTTGGATTACCTAAGGATCAACTGTGGTACATGTCACATATAAAGTAAAGCTATGACAGGTTTGCAGATCCTGGGAGGATCTCTTCTGGATCCACCACCAACTTTCTCTAAATTTTTTTAGATAATCTGTAGATCTCCAGAGGATCTTCTGTGGAGTAACCGAACATCCACAGTGGACCCACCCAACCTCTATGACCCACAGTAGATCAACAGATGATCCGCTTCATAGATCATCCATTTGTAGATCTGAAGTTGACTCTCCTGATATCCTGTGGTGGATGTCTTGCAAATTAATAAATCTCTGGTAGATCTACAGATGATCGCCCGACCCCCCCCCCCCCCCCCCCCCCCCCACTTTGTCG